AAAAAATCTTTGTGCATGTGCTTTATTGTTATTATAAGATTGATTTTGTCTTTGTTTTCATAATAATTTGATAATCATAAATAACCTAATTTATTTAGATAACCTAATAATCAGAAATTCAACTAAGTAGAACATACCACTGCTATATTGTTATAGCAAACATGTATAGTTGTTTACTCTCAAGTGAAACCAATTAAAACTCTGAAACATAAAATGCACCATATCCAAAACTTTGCCAACAATAATATTCCCATGAATGCAAATACAGTATGGATGAAAAGATAGTGCTATCTTGTAAGGTTTTAAAGCCTTATATATTTTTATAGCTCTAACTTGTGGATGAAAGAAGTCTCAATTTTACCAAATAAATTACATAATATCAACACACCAATTTATAAATGACACTGAAAGACTTTCTCAGATTATTTGTTCAAAATAGAAAAATTTGTACTTTTCTTGTAATATTAATTATTTTGTGTGTGTATGTACATACAAACATATATACATACATACATACATAGGGGAATTGACCCAAGTTTTCACTAAATCAACCCACCCATTTTACCCATCACAAACAAAAATTAAGTTAAATTAAATGTCCTCATTTCTCCACTATTAAATCTGCAACCAATAAAAACAAACCACATTTATCATGATTATCTTATTTGTTATCAACAGTGAGTCAATTTAGTTAAAGCATGGATCTATTCAATATTAAACCTATACATATGAAAGTTATTTCAGGTTACATTTTTGTTTCGTGGGTGATAGGTGGTGGGGGTTTCCACAAGGGAACAAAGTTGACTTTAGTTGAACATTAGGTGGGATGTTACTTTGAATCACCCTTCTTGTGCTCCCCCTTTTATGTTTTGCTGTAGTATGACATAGTCTCTAATTGTCCATTGGGATATCTAAGAATTTCCATATTTAACCCTAATCCAAGAGTTTAATCCTTGTAGTGGTTTCATGTAGTGGTTACAAAAAAAATTAGAAAAAGAAAAAGAAAAAAAGAAAAAGAAAAAGGCCCGAGTTTTGTAATGTATGTGTTGGATATAGAGGGGACTGGGACAAGTGCTAGAACCGGAATGTTGATATATTTTGTTTGTAATGTGAACGGGGGATTTTCTTCTGCTCCCCATTCCATTCCATCTTTCAGGCTTTTGCCAGGTCTGTCTGTCTTTCAGTACAAAGTCGCATGATCTTTGTGTTGACGTGCTCCATCTTTCTTTCTTTCTTTATTTCTTTCTATCTTCCTTTCCTTTTCTTTCTGTGGGTTAATTTAATATTCCATCAATTTTGGTTGAAATTGGGGTTCCGACAAAAGTGAATGGGAAGTCTGAGCAACATTGACTCCCCCATACACCCTAAAACATCCACACGTGGTACAGATGGATGGATATGGATGAATGAGGTTTCGTTTGCAGATGGATGTACTTGGGTGGGTGAGAGTCTAATGCTGGTACACCAAGTTTTTTGAAAACCTGGTGTAATATTTACATTTTCATTCTCATTTTTTTCCATTCCACTGCAACTGGGGTCATGAGTCCTTAGGATAGATTTTGTACATGTGTGTTAATTTACACACGAATTCACTAGAGAAAATAAATTTAATTGCTTAATTAATTAAAATCTTCCCACCTTAACAATCCAACCCCCTTCCATCCTCCTCCTCCATGGGTTTCCTCCTCTGCTTCCAAGACGATTTGTCCATTTTGAGACAAAGACTACCCAAAATCAAATATTAACTGAAAGGAAGGAGGAGGCCATTAAAAAGAGTGGATTTTTTTTGCAAAAATATGAAATAACTGTAGTAATAATCCTATTTGGGGCTCCTGAGACTTTTGGGATGTGCAATTTGGACCCTTTTGTCAACTCATAGAACATTGATAATATATATATATACATATATATATATATATATATACATATATATATATATACATATATATATATATATATATATGTATATATATATATACATACATACACATGGGGTGGTACCATAGCAAACTAACCTAGTTTGTGCAAACAGTGGCATATGAAAATAGCCTCAACAACCTTCCCATGGGGGTTGTTGCAATATACATGTGCCAACAGCTAAAGGGCACCTAGAGGAATTTGCAAAAAAAAAAAAACACAAAACAAAACAAAACAAAAACAAAACAAAAAACAAACATAAACAAAACAACACTACATGCATACAAACACATGAGTGTGGTTGTGTTTGTGAATCATGTTGCAGTTTAATTTAATTATAAATTTTGTGTGGTACAATCTACAGAAATTAATTTGTAGTGAAACTTAGATTAAATTCAATAAAAATCATACTTTATTTTTCTATTAATGCAGCAATTTTGGATTTTTTTATTTCTATTTCTATTTTTTCAATGTTTGTAGGATATATATTTTAGATTTACATGTTCATAGGTACTTCTTTCCTAAAACAAAAAACCATTCAAGTGGCTCTAAGTTCATTTGAACATTAATGCTTGTCAATCAAGCTCAATCCAATGCTTGAAAATGACAAGTGCATGTGTTTGGTCAGCTTGCCCCTTCTATCACTTGCGTTTTTTCTCAGTCAGAAACCAGCAGATGGAATAATTTCGAAATAAATTTAATAAAAAATATATATTATTCTAATTATACAAAGATATCAGACTGCAGTGTTGAATTTCAGAATGCAAAGGACCTGTGGGTGTCATACAAAAATACACCAAATAAATCTAATGATAGAAATAATATTGACAAAGAATTAATGCAGGTCAAAATGTAGAAAGGCTGAAATTGACAAAAAGAAAAGTCCTATCAAAAAAAAAAAAAAAACTAACAAAATTTGATTATCATATCATATATTTTCATGTGAACAATGTTTGGTGGTTACTATATCCTAAAACCATTCTCAACGCAAGCCAATGAGATAAGAACCTTTTTTGCCAATAATTGCCATTATCAAAGATTCCATGTCCACTATGCCTACTGTCTTTACTCTCCTCTCATAACTCCTTCATTAAACCCTAAAAACTCCATCCTTTCATCTGTTCCTTCCCCTTTTAAGTACAATCCAATAAAAGAAAACAATATCACTTCCATGAACCATGATTAAAATACATAATAATAAAAAATGAACATGAATGACTAACTTTGTCACTCTGTCCAAGTAGGGAGACAAGTGAGGGCAGATGATTAGAAATGTGGAGTGAGGTGCATTTATGAAGCTCCAATCGGCCCAAAGCCAACAATTGCAGATGCCCTTGAAAAAATAATAGACATCAAGGTTGAAAGTTGTGGCCCCCTTAATTCATGGTGCCCGCCCATGACCCTCAAGTCAAAGTCTCCATGGCCCATTCCTCCCTCTCATGAGCCAACATGTATTTCTATATGTGTCTGTCTGTATGTGCACTTGTATACAAACCTTCAGGTATACAAACCATTCAAATTTATTATATGTATTGATATATATATATATATATATATATATAGACACATGTGCCCATGAATTGTTGATTGCTGTAGAGGCCTAGCTTGGGATTGCAAATACTTGGCAATAAGATGAATGGGGTGCAGTGGTGATATGGGGTGAGGTGGTATGTACACAGATTTTCTGGTATAATTATCTCTATCAAACTGTCTTTGGTCATCCCCTCTTCAAGGAACCGTAGCCATGGTGAAATTAAGCTTTACACCTCATTGGTGTTTGGTTTCACATTTTTATCTTTGTTCTTGCTTGGCATGATGGGTTAATTTACCCAGCTGTTTTAGAAGTTGGGTCTGGTAGGTGCTAAAGAAGATGGTTTCATGGAAATTTTTGAGACTACAGAATATCCCAGGATCTGAATTTTTTTACTGTGTGTGTGTGTGTGCGTGTGTATTATGTTAATTTATGCAGATGAGTTCTTTTTGCATTTACATTACTTTCTAAAAAGACATGATTTTTAATAAACAACAAAAACTTTTGAGGAAAATTAAGAATTCCTGAAGTTTAGAAATGTGGTGCAAAGTGGGTATATATATATATATATATATGTATATATATATATATATATATATATTTAAAACAATGCAAATGTGGTTTAACCTCTGTTTATTTTTATGGACAAACCAATGCTGCTGAAAATTACTAAACTAAAGAATGCTCCATTAGTTTAACACAACAGCAACTATGATTTCAAATTTGAAGTTGATTCTTGGGGCTTTAAATTTTTTTGAATCACACATATGTAATTCTGCTTCTCAAAAAAATAAAAATAATCATTGAAGCAGTTTAGATTGCAAAGTTCAACCAACTGTTAATTTGGTACAGAATCAATTCACATGGACCTAAAAATGGTAGTAAGATGACTTCTTCTTCTTCCACATTCAAAAAACAAAAGAATCACACAGAGAGAGAATCAATCACACAGCAAAACAACAACCTAATTTATGCACATTTTTGCATTTCTCATGGAAAAAAAAAAAAAAAAAATTAAAAGAATGTCAGATCCACAGTCCATGTCTCCTTTCCTGCAGGAGAGAACACTTCAACTCATTCAAACATCACACACAAAAAAACATGAACCATTTGAACCATGCACTATCACCATCACCATCACCATCACCACCACCATCTCATTCTATTAACAACAGAAAACCCTAATTTGTAAAGTATAGTATAGGTACCAAGAAGGCTACTAGCAAAGACATTAGAAAGGAAGGAAGGAAGGAAGGGGAGCCAGGGAGGGAGTGTGGGGATTGGACCCCGCGCTGCGGACTCACGGCGGCTGCTCTTAATGACACACACACACGCTGACAGCCGAGTTGGACACGACGCCCCAGAATTTGCTCCCATCCCCCACCCCAACGCAATCCAACCTCCTTTTAATTAATTTTATATTACTACTACTGCTACAGAAGGCCAGCACATCGCGGATGCATACTGTAGCACAGTCCCGGCATTACTGCCATTCTCGTGCAGTAGTAGCAGTCGAGCCTGGTGATGACGCAATGCATGCATGCTCACTCCCCGCTCTACAGTGTTAGTGCTTCATCGTCATTCATCGCTCGCGCTCTCACGTAGCAAGCGACTACGACGAGCAGGCTGACCAGCGAGCGCCACCTCCTCCTCCTCATCGACCACCCACCCGCTCACCCCCGCGCCTCTGCTCTCTCTGTTCTGCTCTGCTCTGGCACACACTACTACAAATCTGCCGCTGCCTACTCTGGTTTTCTCATGCTCATGTTCCCCCTCTTAACTGCCTGCTCGCCTTCCAAGTACTCGCCTCTCCTTCTTCTTCTTTTTCTCGATTACTGCCCCCCTGCTCCCTCCCTCCTTCCCCTGGCACTGGCATAGGCATTGTCTTATTCTTGGTGTAATTGTCGTTTGGGGGGGATCAGTAGACATTTCGTTGTGGCGTTTCATGGTTCTGGACGTGGCGAGGGGCTTCTGTGAGGTTTATGGTGAAGTAAGCCGCAGACGAGGGAGCTGCTCCGGGTTGTTGTCGTTGAACGTGGCAGTAGCGACGGGTTCGAGTTACGTGTGTACGTGGCGTGGGAATTAGTTAACTCGGGGGCGTAGAGTGGCGGAGTTGCGCCGCGCGGCGGTGAGATTGTGTTTCGAGTACGTTGGAGGATTGTCCCCCGCCCCCCCTCCCTTGTTGTGTCGTCCCTTTGAGTGTGTGTTTGTTTGTTGTCTTGGTGTTGGAGGGTGTTGCTTTTGCTGGATACCTGGAGGGTGTTGCTTTTGCTGTGACTCGTGGTTAGATTGTGTGGATTTCGAGCGTGTGTTTACGAGACTCATGCTCGGTTAGTTTAGTCTTTGGTAATTGGGAGTTGGCACCTTAATATGTTCTGAATTGCGTGAGGCTATGACTCTGCTCTTGTAATGTACGTGTGAACATAGCTATTAATGCCGGTTAAAGAAGGATTGTCGAAAGTGTCACTCCAATATGAAGGAAAATTCTCCAACGTGCATGTGGCGATTTTATTTTATTTTATTTTTCTCTCTTTCGTGTTTCGACTTTGTCTACACTGTCATATCTTTGCGACTCTGTTCTTGAGTTGTTCTGCGTGGATGAAGTGCGGTTTCTAAAATTTCCTCATTGTATGCAAACGTCTTAGACGCTTGACTTTGGTTCCCGACTAGCTGCTTTGCGGATCCACATAGAGTTTTAAGAGGTGGGAAAGAAGTGACAGTATTTTTATTTGTTTTTAATGTTTAAGATGGAATTGAAGAACAGCCGCAGTTTTTGTCTTTGTTTGATTGTTGTATTAGTCCCTTAGCATTATCTCTTATTCTTTGATCTTTTCACGAAGACGACCTGTTCTCCCTGGTGATTGAGCTAGCAGAAACGTGCAGGTCCTTCTCTCTCTCTCTCTCTCTCTCGAATGGTTGAGACTTGTACCAGGATTTGACGTAAAACTTTCTTAGCGTAATTGATGTACTACTATGTCAACCGATTATGAAGGAAGTAGCATAGCGGTAGTCTTACATTGTTCTTAAAATTTTGGAAGTCTCTTTCATCTTAACGACGTGCTCGAACGTTAATTTGAATTACATGTCCTTTGAACACTCACACATAGCGTCAGCATGTACTAGCCCTGTTTCAGCCCGTCAGGATGTGTACCAACCTGTTTAAAAATTAGGGTGCTTAAGTCTCGCACACAATCTTTATTATTTATCGTCCATGAAACTCTGATGGTTAGGGTGCTTTGAGTTGTTGGACTACATAGAACGATGGCATGGTACATATACCTCGCCATTCATGCAATGGTCGAAGAAATGTCTCTGGACTTGTATGCTTTCTCTTTGCTTGGGAAATCCTGTTAGTGTGTTGCTTTCGTCTCGTGTTTTCCATGATACAATTACTTTTTTGTTGTTCGCTTTATGACATTGAAGCGCTTAAGTGGGGATGTTGAGATATGTGGTTATCTCCTGAATTTGTTTGACAGGTTCCTGTTCTTCGAGGTATCAACTTGCATAAATGTTGCGTTATCGAGGCTTCCAGGCACTATGGCTGGCGGTTGCATTCCTGTGCCAGTATTCAGCAGCGTGGGATCTGGAGCCTCCTGCCGGTTTTAGGTGCGCATTCTTGTTGGCCCGTCGATGTGGAAGTGTTCACGTCTTTTGTAGAAATTTATTGGTTCGGAGGGTCATGGTACTGAAGTCGTCTGATGACTTGATGGTGTTGGGAGACAATTGCATGTCATCTCTAGTATATTCCCAAACCCTCATCTATGGACGCAACTTTGTCCCTCATATAGCATGCAACTGTTACATTCAGACTAATTCTCATTTTGGTGGTTTCTCCTCGATGCAGCAAGTCACTTACCACCTCCATCGACCAAGGCAAACAGATGTATACTTGTGACACTGGTATTTGGCGTAAGTCAGGATCCTCAGCATATTTGGTCACAAATAATCCTCAAAACGGCGGTCTTGTAAGAGCTGGGAATTATGAGTCTACTGCGGACCCCACAACCAAACGATCTATCATGAAGTGGACAATCCTCAATTCCCCTGGCGACGCGATTGAATCAGGAGATCAGATCAGTAGCGTAAAGGGTACGGGTGTTTCAGATGAATTTTTTCTTGGTAACTTTTGAAAAGTACATGAAACTGCAGGAATTATTTCGTGAATCTCGTGTTTAAGTACATGTGTGCAATTCCTAAGTGGTCTTTGAATTGCAGGAGTGGCCATTTACTCGCAGAATACTTCTGAGGACTCAGTTCCCGAAGTGCTGTTCGAGGTGACGTCCCACCAGGGAGCTGGTGCAGCTGCCTTGGTTACATACATTATGATGACTCAAACCAAGGGTGGACAAGCTCCAGATACCTCTTTGTGCACTGAAGATGACATTGTTGCTGACGTGCCCTTCGATGGCTACTTTGAATTCTACGTTCAAGATAGGCAGCCGCCCCCCACCGTACCTGCGGAGCTCAAGCCGCCTGCTCGGGTTGTTCAAGGGTTCTTTGTGAAAGGGAAGATGGTGTTCAGATTCGATGGTATGAAATGGCATTCTCAGGGTATCATTGCTACCATTTACAATGTCGCTGGCGGTAATGCTATAGGGAAATTCGGAACCATTAGGAAGCCTGATCAATACGGCAGTAACTTACGCTGGATTGTCGACAATCCAAATGGCTTCACACTGACTGGCAAGATTACTGGAAGTAAAAAGGTGTCCGACAATGGTGCTGCCTGGCAGCTCTATGAAATCACTACGAGCTCAGGGACAGTGTAAGTTTCCAATCTGGATTGTTACTCGAAATTCAGGTTATCGGATTGATCGTCAACTTCAATCTTCCATTCTTTTGGTTCTCTCGAATGCCCTATTCACTATAACTCGGTTGTTATGATGTTAACCTTTTTTTTTACTGGTCAATGTAACAGGACTTCAGTTGGACCTTTCAAATACGTGCAGTTGACTTCAACGAGAGGAGGTCTGGAGCCTAAGATTGCAGGTGGAGCAACACTCGGTTTGCTATGGAAGTCCAATTTCACAGGGATCTGCTGGTTCTACACCTAACCAGTGTACTATTACATAAACTGCTGTTCAAAATTGCCTGCAATTGCTGAGAGCCGCTGACAAGATAGCTTATAAAGAGAGGACGGATGGGTATGTAGGTGCACGTACTGCCGAGATATGCAAACCGGCGGACAATTTCTTGTCTGAGATGTGCTGCGCTCTCCTTCTCTCTATACTAGCTCCTGTAAAACTTTAGCCGAAAGTGTGTACGATGTGTGATATGACCATGTTTAAGTGTAAATGAATGGGTACATCGCCAGTGTACACTAGCAACACGCTTGTTATAATAATTTTCTTACGTGTGTGCACATCATCCTGTGGGCCAATCAAACAATCTGCAGATTTTTTAATGGAGCTGAGTGACGGATGTGTGGTTTTGGCTTTATTTCCCGTGGGTAGATAAGTCTTCTTCATATGGTGCGCTGCACAATTCGTCAGTCATGCCGATCTCTCCCTTCGCTGACTTTACTCAAACCATTTGTCCGATATTTTCATCTTTTTTTGACCATAACTATCTTTCCGTTTTATGTGACTGTAAATTGACTGACATGCTGCTGATAAATATTTTTGTAATGCCAGGTTGATAATAAAAATGTGTTAACCAGTTAAATTATTTTAGCCCACGCAATCAAATTTTACTTCCGACAATGTTCACACAATGTGCATTGAACATTTATCCATGGCATTGATGAATGTAGCATGCTCCATAACATCATGTTTCAGTGCAATTGGTTTCATTTTTCATTGAAATTGTTTTGTGCTTGGTCTTGATTACACGTGTATATATGCAAACATGTAAAAGAAGAAAATTTTGCATTAGCTCCTTACCAGTTTGTGCTTACATCCAAAAGATATGATTTTTTTTTTTGATTTTACAAAATTAAAACAGAAGTGTTCATTTACACTTTTCAAGACAAACACAATTTCAAACTGACATATCCTTAACAATTCAAGAGCAATCCATAATTCCAAAAATCATGTTTTTTACAATTTCATTTTGAAATACAATGAAATATGACTACTTAACTCTTCTAAAATCTCACATTTTTATTTTTTGAATTTTGGTTTGTATAATCTCAAAAGTGCCATTGAATTAATTTGTAGATTGTTGTTGTCTACTAGTTTGGAAGTTAGTTCATATAAAATATTTTAAAATTTAAATGTAAGAACATACTTAGTAATGTAATATATTTAATGTTTTTTTAATATAAATTATTAATTAAGGAAAATGTTAAAATGACCCACCCATTTACTAAATCAACCCATCCTATTGTGGGGAAGAAAGGAGAACAATGGAGGTTGGGATGAGAGCTAGGAACAAGGAAGGGGATTGGAATGAAGAAAGCTAAGAACAAAGAGAGAAAGGGTTGGGAACAAAAGAGGTTGAGATAAGGGCCATGATTGTAATAATGGTTTTTTGAAGATGATCCATTTTTCTAATGATAGTTACAATAGAATGGTAAAATTTAGGAAATGGATGGATCATTTAAATATTTTCTTTAATTAAATATTTTTATAAACAATAATGTGGAAATCCTAAAAGAATCTCTTATTATGAATATGAAGTTTTTATTTTTTTTCAAACTAAAGTTATTTATTTATTTTAATTTTATTAGTATTTTATTAGTATGTATAAGAAGAAACTTAATAGTTCTTTATAGTTCTTATTCTTGTAAATCATTATTCTTATTTTTATTTTTAAATAATATAATATATTATAAAATGATGATATATAAAACTAATTATAAATATATACCAATTTCATATTGATTTCAAAGAAAATAAGCACTTATATGAATATCCACCTCTTATATCAAACTATATTTGTAAAATTTCTTTGCAAGTCTGTAAGGCTGCAAATCAATTATACGGCTAGTATTTTGTCCAAAGAATTGATTATGCATTGGATGTTTTGTCTAGGAAATGATTTGGATATTTTTAAGAGGTAGTTCATATACTTGTGATCCAATTACATCAAATATGGATAAACACCTCCTAGTTAAGTTTAATATCATTTAAGGCTTATGAGAGGATTTTGATTTGTTAATCAAAGACCTTTGAATAAAATAAAAGTTTAGCAAAATAAAAAGACTCCAAGGCTACAAAGATAGAAGAAAATCTTGCAGTTCATCTTTTTTCTTCATTCTTATTAGCACTATGCTATAGGTCTTTGGATGACACTCTTTTTTCTAAACTCCAAACAAGTCTATTATTGTCTTTCTAGAAGATGGAGATAACAACTTCAAAAAACTTAGCAATTTGTATATTTTGGCATCATTGTCTTTTTACATAAGAGACAAGAGTCTAATTTCAAAGCGTCAAGATTTCTTTCTAAATTATCTTTTGCTCTAGTTAGCCACTAGGTTCAAGCAACAACTTTGAACTAGCTACAAATGTTTCCATGCTTTAGTAATCTAGTAGTTGTCTTTAAGCAACCATGGCATATTAGACCATCGTCTATCTCATGTATCTTGGCAATTAGGACAATACAACAATCATTCATAATGCCCAAAGAACTTTTGGCATAAAAAATGGACTATTATTTTATATATAGAGTAAGTTATTAAGGCTCTTTATGACATCATAAAGCAATAGATCTATTGGCTAATCATTGAACAAAAGAAAGAGATATTTGTAATACTAGAGATAAAAGGCTTCTTTGACTATATTGGTTTTGTAGATGAAACAATTATACATCTATACTTGTATTGGTAGAAGAAACATATGTATTCAATATTCCTCCAAGTGATATATGACTTCCATCAATAAGTCATTGCTTTTCACTTTTATTAGTCTAATTTAGTATATGACTCCACTATATATATATATATATATATATATATATATATACTTCTATGCATAAGTATCTTGAAAATTATTTCAATAAAGAATAATACTTATTAGCTAACTCAACTTATAATCAATCCAATACAGTTGTTTTGTCCTATTAATTATCAACTACTTTTTTGCAAGAGAGTATAGAATTTAACTATTGTATGGTAATGATAAGAATCAAGAATAAAAATAGAATTGAAATTATAAAAAATAGGTGGCATTATCTTGGAAAGGTGAAGAGACTGTTGAAGGATACTAAAGACAAGTAGAAGATTGAAGAATGGATCATGACTTGTGTAATACTATACAACATGTTAGCAAATTTAGGAGATTTTTGACTACAATGCTATAAGAAACTCTTGATATAGAAAAAGAAGCCTAAGAAGAACAACCTCCTTTTTATTATAATTCTTTTAGAGAGCAATTTCAGCCAAAAATATTGTCCATAAGTTTTGCAAAAGACTTTCTTTTCTTACATAATTAATTCAAACACAAGTATGATATTTAAATGCATGTTCTTTGGTTTATTTTATTTTTTATTTTGTTGTCTTACATTACATCTAATTCTTACACTACAAAAATAAAACAAAAAAAAAAACTCAAGACCTCTAATTGTAGGCAAAAGTTGACATTATAAACAATCAGATCTAAAATATCCATCTCCGCTTTGTCTTTGCTAAGATTTTATTTGCAAAGTAATATTGTAGTAGATGAACAAGCTCTTTGTGCATTTGTACTTCATTTCTCTTTTATACATGATCAATTGATGAAGCCAACTAGGATTTATCTTTTCCATCTTGCCACATCATGTATTTGCAAGGCACATCATTATTTATTTTATTTTATTTTATTTTATTTTTTCTTCAGTTATTATGGAGGATTACAACCTCACACTTTGATTGTAGAAGTATGGTTGAAGTAATCTAATGGCAAACCAAATGTGGGCAAAGGTTTGATTAGAGATGGATTTTTATATAGTTGTAGATAATTGAGATAAGAACCAAAAGATAGTCGAAGGTAGAAGGGTAGATTACGATTGATGAGGTATTTGTGAGGCAATTCATGGTAACGAGATAATTATAGATGTGAATTTTTAGTCATTTTGTGGCAAACAATAGAAAGGGTTGTGTATAAGGAATTAAAAGGTAAAGATTTGGTGACTGATTCAAAGAGAGGAGTAATGTTTTTGTTGGTGGAAGGAAGAGTTTAGATATAGAAGAAAGGTGAGTGTGGTCATAATGACTAACAAGCAGTGAATGATAGAGCAAAGATGGAATTTTATGGAAAATAAGATTACAAAGCTAAAGAACTTGCTAGAAGGTGTGCTCAAGCAATAGTTCAGCTCTAAGAAATACATGTTTCTTTATACATATCTAATGTCAATTATGATTTTTTTGATGGTTTAGGTTTTAAAAATTAGGAGTGTAAAAATCAAGTTGAGTGGTAGGATATTAATGTTTTGATTTTACAAATTTATTGTTTTAAGTAGTTCTATACTAAAATTTGACTATTATTCTTACAGTCTTTTTTGTATAAGAAACATGTTTGAATTCTTTGTTCTTTATTGCCTAGCTTATTGCAAAATAATATATATATATATATATATATATATATATTGTGATATTTTTGTTTACAATGTATTTGTTTTAGATTGTGTAGGATTATGTAAATCAAATGATTTAGCAGATGTACATCTATTATCAACTACCACCTCCAATTATCAAGAAAACTTTAATTGTTATAAGCCCTTTTATCAATCACATAGAAGATCAGATATTCACTTGCTCCCTTTGTTTTAAATTGAAGAGTTCTTTGTTTCATGTTGAAAATTTTTTGACTTTGTTTTTACATTTTTTGTGATATTCATTAATATTTTTGTTCATTTTGATTCTAAATTCAAAAAGATATGTGTATGCTAGATGGTGAGTAAGTAATAGATTTGCAACAAAGGGATATACTTACTAAATATATGGCTAGTGCTTCAACAAATTGAATTGTGAATAATAGGACAAAAAATAGGAATTATGATTATCTTTATATGAACTTCAAGAAGGTATTCTATGTCCCAAAGGTTAGTCATATCATTAATTTTTTGAATAGGATATTTTATAAAAACAAAGGTTTGTAAATTAAATTCTTTTCTTATTTATGGCTTTACACTTTTAATTTTAGGATCTCCAAAGGACTATTGTATTTTATTGTGAAATTTTTAGACATCACTTCTTAGCAAAGAAATATTGCTATTGTTCTAACATATTTTATTTAGAAATTATAAAAGAAGCCAAAGATATTATTTTGCTTCTATTGCAAACTTTTCCTTCCGCAAACCTAAAAGAACTATATAGTGTTTTTTTGTTGGTTTTTTCTTTGTATTGTGTCCAAAAGATCTCTCTCTTTGACAAGTTCCTCTTCTTGCCACTTTCTTTTTTTGCCACCCACTTTTCTTTTTTTACATAACATCTTTCCATCCACTGCTAACCTCATTTCTTTTGCCTTCTACTAGGCTTTTGCCTTC